CGCTATATATATAAAATGCAAACCGAGTTCTCAAGAACATACACATCCTGGAAAACCAAAAGGAACCAAAACCCACTGCAGTGGAGTTGATTTGAACCCGCTGGAAGAGGTTTCAGAAGGTAGCGCCCACACCTTCTTCCTTTGCTGGCTCAGTCAGGACATTCTGACCCTCCCTGTCAAGATTACCTGATACAAAGGCATGCAGATGCTATCGATCCACTCCAGTTGTAGTCGAGGCAGTTCATCTTTCCGGTTCCGATCAAAAATAGCCTAGAGTGGGGGCGGGGAGGTGGGGAAAAGAATGCTTTATTACCCTGGAGTATTTTACAGCAGGTTTGTCAAACACTGCCACAATGATCCAATTTTTACTAACTGAACACTTCACAAATCCCAACCCATCTTTACACATACTTTCCCCCTCTTTATCTGTGATAAGAAATAAATTATTTTCTTCTCTTTTTATGAGGTTTGTAAGTGAATGTATTTGAACTTTATAGCAAGCAACTCCTTGAGGCCAATGTCTGTCTTCAGATATAGGTAACTGCTACTAAAAGCAAGCCATCAAGTCGCTGAGAATTGGGTACAAGTCAAGGGGAAGGAGACATGTTTTATTACCATAAAAATAATACAAGCTTTTATTTTTATAGTGGAGGAGTATGGGAGAGAATAGGGTAAATTGGGAAAGATCCTTAAAAGGAATTTCATTATAAATAGAAGGCGTCAGTGTTAGTTTTTGTTCAGGTGTTGGTTTGGTAATTCTTTGGTTTTTCAATAGTTTTATCAATAATAGATTCCTACATTTTTATTTATGACTACATGGATGATGGCAGGGTGCCCTTTCTCTCATTAGTCCTCAGCTTTTAATTTTATGATGTTTTTAATGGCTGGGATAGTTTTGGTATATTTTTGAGAAAAAAAAAAGTGGCATATTTCTGTTGGGCATACTTAAGAAGGAGAATAATTGAAGTTGGAGGTTGGGAAACTAAAATTTCTTAAATAAACACTGGCAGCTTTACTTCAGTAAGAATGTCATTCTTTTAGTTCTTAAGGAGAAAAGCTAGGGTCTAAGGAAGAGGCTATGGGACAAGTGGAGCCCTTATGTATCTAGAATGCTGGACTGTCAGTTTATAACCTGCTCTGCCTTACAGTCTTGTTGTTGTTAAATGCTGTCAAGTCACTGCCGACCTATAGTGACCCTGTATAGGGTTTCCAAGGAGTAGCTGGTGAGCTTGAACCACCAACCTTGTAGTTCAAACCAACTTTGCAGTCCAGCACATTAACCCAAAGCGCCACACCAGGACTCCCTTACAGTCTTAGAGTAAATTTTATCTTTCCTCTAAATATGGCATCAACATCATATCATGGTTAACGTAGGTCCTCAGGGAGGATCCAACTCAGACCTTCGGAACTCAACCAAAACAAACCCATTGCAGTGAGTGGATTTCAGCTCATAGTGATTCCTGGACAGAACAGAACTGCTCCAAAGTGTTTTTAAAGCTTTAATCTTTATGGTAGAAGACTATACATTTTTCTACCCCAGGTTGACTGGAAGGTTCCAATCTTTTGGTTAGCAGTCAAGTTCTTTAGTTATTGAGCTATCAAGAATTCTCACCCTTGGTAAGGAGATGTTGAAAAAGCCTGGGCCATTCAGGCCTATGGGAGAGGATGTGAGTGGGTGGGACAAAATCAGTAGGCTCTAAGATTCACAAGAGATAGAAGTGTGCTTCTTAAGAAAAGACTTCCAAATTAGGAGGCAGGTCACTGACCACCACCAGCTCTGTTCATCTCTTGTCTTGCAATGTAAACTGTTAAATATATCAGGCAAAAGGACTGAAATTCAGAGAACTCTGAAATGTGCAAGAGAGAGCATGATTCTTGAGAATTATAAGGCTTGGTCCAAAATTTTCCTTTAAAAAATATGCTTCTGTTTTATATTCTCTGTTTTCCTAACATTTTGTGCTTGTTGTGTATTATACAATCATTCTTTTTTTAAAAATTCAATGGTTTTTGGTATATTTATGGAATTGTGCAACCACTGTCTAATCTCAAATGACAAAGATTTATACTTACATTTTCTTTTAAGAGTTTTTAAATTTTAGCTCTTACATTTAGATCTATGACCTATTTTGAGTTTATTTCTGTGTATGGTCAGAAATATGGGTTCACCTGCATTCTTTTGCAAATGGCTATCCAGTTGTTCCCAGACCATTTGTTGCAGAGATTAATTTGTTCTATTGAATTGTCTAGGCAAGCTTTTGGAGAATAAATAGGTTGAGTGTAATTTTAAGGGTTTATTTCTGGACTTTTGGTGTTGTTAAGTATTGTTGTTCAGTGGGTTCCACCTAATTATGACCCTGTATGGGGTTTCTGAGGAGCGGATGGTGAATTTGAACTTCCAACCTTGCAGCTCAAACCGACCTTGTGGTACAGTACATTATCCCACAGCACCACACCAGAACTCCTATTTCTAGACTAGTCACGTCTAAATAAATATTTGATGAGAGAAAAATGAATGTAAACACGAGCTACCACAATGTTCTATGCTTTTCCTTTACTGCATTTTATAGTTTTGTAATTGATTGTTATTGTTAAGTGCGATTAAGTCGGTTCTGACTCATAGCAACCACAAGGAGTGGCTGGTGGGTTTGAACCACCGACTTTGCAATTAGCACTCCTGTGCTTATCCTACAGTGCTACACCAGGACTCCAATTGATTATAATCAAACTAGTAATAATTGAATATTTGTTGTTTTTTTAAGTGCTTTTGAGTCAGATCCAACTCATAGCAACCCTGTATCGGGTTTCCGAGGAATGGCTGGTAAGTTTGAATCACCAACCTTGCAGTTCAAATGACCTATCAGTCCAGTGCTTATCCTACAGCATCACACCAGGAATCCAATTGAACATTAGTAGTTATTTCATGTCTATGTTTCCCACAATTGACAAGTTTCTCAAAGGCAAGGAAGACAGCACTTTGCTTACTGCTTGATGCATAGTACTTAGCTTCATGCTCAACACAGAGATGCTCAAGCTAGACGCTTGTAACTGACCCACTGCTGTACAAACCCTTCGACTGTGATCCTGATCAGACCTTAGTCTTCATAGTTACTCTGACTTCTAGGACCATGCTAGCTGAAGGAATTCTGAGAGAATTTTCTTTCTAAATAACAAGGAATAATGAACACAGCATGTATCATCTCTGGGTACATGTATGAAGAGATATCTCTGGTTGAAGACTCGTATGAGACACCGGCCACAACAACCCAGTCTCTTTTGAAGGGAGGTTCACCAGCCGTGTTAAATTGCCTTTTGTAAGGAGAAAGTATCAGTTAGGGCTGTTTCTACTGCTGACTTAATTACAATTATTTCTTCAGAAAATGCCTTATTTGAGCCCACAGACAAAGGATCCTTAGAGCTGCCCCACTGCACTCTCAGGCTTCCAACATTGTCAGTTTACTCATTTTTTTTTCATTTAACTAAATGACCTTTGGTATTGCTACATTGTAAACCCGTCAGTGGGTGCCTTGGAAACAGATTTTTTAAAGTGAAGCAAAAGCTTTCATTTAAAAAGAGATTTGAGCAGAGAGATCATGAGTGTATTAGCGTTTAGACATTAATTGTATGCATTCCATATATATATGTATATGTGTGTGTATATATATATATATATATATATATATATATATATATATATATATATGTGTGTGTGTGTGTATATATATATATATATATATATATATACATATCACAGTGGTTCCATATATATAAGCACTGGACTGCGAATTACAAGGCCTGCAGTTCAAGTCTGCCAACTATACTGTGGAAGAAAGATGAGAAATTCTATTCCAGCTTCAGAATCGACTGAAGACACTTAGCAATAACAACAAATACATACATCTAGTCTTGATGTCGTGATATAGGATAAGCATTGGACTGCAAACCATAAGGTCAGTGGTTCAAACTCACCACCCGCTCCTCAGAACCCTATACAGGTTCTCTATGAGTCAGAACTGACTCCATGGCACTTAACAACAACAACTATATCTATATCTGGTGTTCTGGTGTGGCTCTGTGGGTTAATGCACTGGACTACAAGGTTGGTTTGAACCGCAAGGTCAGTGGTTCAAGCTCACCAGCCGCTTCTTGGAAACCCTGTATAGGGTCACTATGAGTCGGAACCAACTTGATGGCACTTAACAACACCAAATCTATATCTATCGATCTATTTATCTATTAAATGTTGCTGTTAAATGCCTTTAAGTCAATTCAAACTCATAGTGACTGTGTATAAGGTTTCCAAGGAGGAAGCAGAAAGCGTTATCATATAAGCCTCACCACTATGAGTCAGAACCAACTCGACAGCAATTAACAACAACAACAGGAAGTGATGGAATACAAATTGAAATGTTTCAATAAACTGATGCAGAGTTGGAGGTACTCACTCAAATATACCAAGAAATTTGGAAGACAGTTACCTGGCCAACCCATTGGAAAAGATCCATATTTGTGCACAACACAAAGAAAGGCAACCCAGTGGAGCAATATCATTAATATCACCTGCAAGTAAAATTTTGTTAAAGACAATTAAAAAAAGATTGCAGCAGAACATTGAAAGGCAGCTGCAGAAACTCGAGCTTCAGAAGAGGGTGTGGAATGAGGAAATATAGTTGCTGATATCATATCCAAAATGAATCTTGGATAAAAGAAGAGAATACCAGAAAGATGTCTACTTCTGGTTGAATTACTATGTAAGGACATTCAGCTGTGTGGATCATAACATGCTCTGGATAACATTTCAAGAATGGGTATCCAGAATAGTTAATTGTGCTCATGAGGAGTCTATACATAGGCCAAGAGGCAGTTGTTAGAACAGAACAAGGGGGTAACTGAACTGTTTAAAATCAGGGAAGGTGTGCAACAAGATTGTATTCTGTCACTATCCTTATTTAATTTGTATGCTGAGGAAATAACTTGAGAAAATAGATTACATGAGTAAGTTGGTATCAGGATTGTTGTTGTTAAGTACTATTGAGTCAGTTCCGACTCATAGTGACCCAATAAAGGGTTTCCGAGGAGCAGTTGGTGAGTTTGAACCACCGACCTTCTGGTTCAAACCAATCTTGTGGTCCAGTGCATTATCTTGTAGTGCCACACCAAGACTCCAGTATCAGGATTGGAGGAAGACTAATTAACATCCTGTGATATGCAGATGACAGTCCTTGTTTGCTGGAAGTGAAGATGACTTTTTCCGATGAAAGTCAAAGACTACA